CCAAAGTTTCGTTTTGTTTTTTAAACATTTGCTTAAACAATTTAAACATTTTTCGCCCGCTATTGGTACATTTATTGCACCATGATTGAATTAGTCTACTTAATCGCAATTTTTTACTGCTACTCTCCTTTTTTTATGAATTCTTTTTTTATTAACACGAAAAACCACAAAAATAATGCACTTTTTATTTTGATACTTGCTGCTTTTTTTTTGTTTTACAAATTTAATTAAACGTCAACTTAAGCGACATATCAGTGCCGCATTAATAAATTAACAATGAAAAAAGGGGTTAAATAAACAACAAAAAGCCGCAAAACAACAATCGAAAAAGAAGCAAACAACTTTAGTGGAGGCCATAAACAACAAACTAATTATATATGCACGCATGCAAAAAAAAAGCGCCATAATATCGTCATCAAAATAGCGGACAATGAATGCTCTTTAAAATATAGATGACATTATTTAGGCTGCTGGCAACAAACAACTAAAAGGTAGACAGCAAAGTGTATAAAGTTTCTTGCTTGAATTGCCCGAAATGGTATGCTATAGTTATTTTTTTGTTGGCTGTTTGAGCACCTTCCTTTCACACACTACTAATGAAAGTGCAACGTGATTTTTAGTGCAAAGAAAAATATTTAAAATATATACATATATAAAATAATATATTTAATTTAATAATATTTAATATAGTTTACAGCTCAAACCGCAGACCTAACTCTATCGCAGCCGTGCACTGCAGTGGTTGCCATTTAAACTTGCAAAAACACAATGCCGCTGGCATACCCAAAAGCAAATATTTTGCCAGTAAGCGTATTCAATATTCCGCAACCTAATTAGCATACAATTTTCGCTACCATCGGCCCAACACTTTGGCCAAATTAAATTGTCAATTATTGGCAAACAAACGCCCAGCAGAAGCAGTAGCACACAGTGCGAGCCATAAAGTAATGCCATGCTGGCATTTGTGTGTGTGTGTTTGCTTGTTGGTTGCATGGAAAAATATGCATGGTGCAACCGCAGCTTTAACCAGAACCCGACGCATTTGTCATTCTTTGCTGTCGGTGGGGGCGGGGGAGGGGTGTGGCACAAGGCAAACAAATGCCCCAGAGAGAGAAGGAGTCCTGGCCAGAGTCCGGGGCCGGGTCCGGGTCCGGGCTTTGCACCATCGTTTGCCAATATTCAAATAGCAAAAAGTCAGACATATTCTCATTAACATAAAACATAAATATTTACTTATGCCACAGACACACACGGACACGGACACGGACCCAATGCAACGGACATTTCTATTTGAGTTTTGGTCGAAAGGGATTTCCCAGACATTTCCTTTGCTTTCCTTTTGCATTTTTCGCCCCATTATGGCATTTTGTGGGGCGCAGGGTAAAATGTGTGCTAAAATGCCATTTCCATAAATGCAAATCAGTTTGTTTATTTCCCTCCATCCCTCTCTGCGCCATTCATTCCATGGCATACGTCCGTATATCTTCTCCAAATAGTTATAACTTTTGAGGCGTTGCAATACACAAAATAAATTTATTCTGATTCGGTTTTTTTTATGCGTTTTTTCAGTTAAGGTTATGGCCTTCTTCTTCGAGGTCGGCACGCCCCCCACGAGGGCGTGACCAGAGTGCAACATGCAACGAAATTGATATTCGTTTGGCAACCGATTGGGTTGCACGTAACACGCTTTGCTCCTCGAGGCATAATTGAAGGTGCAGCAGCGGGTTGCAGTTTTATGGGGGACTTAAGTTAATATTTTTGCGGAGAACAAAATTATGATACAGACATAAAAATGCGAATTTTGCTGAATTTTGGATTCTTTGTGGTTTACTTTAGTACCTTTTAAACATTGCTTTAGTATTTTTCTGGTACTATTTCCCTACTCAATGAGCACTAATCATTCGACACCTTCAGGTAAAAGGAGTAAATAAATAAAATAAAATATAAATAAATAATATAAATAAATAAAATTCTGCTTAAATCAGGAAATGTTCACAAAAACTCGTATAAGATTAAAAAACGCTTCCTTTTTTTTTAATTCAATCTGATTGTATTATTCAGTCCCAAGGCTCTATAATTTACCATTATAAGCAAACCTCTGGAAAGGACGAAATTAAGCTAACTACCAAGTGCGCACATAATCGTTTGCTTATCGGGAAAAATATATCTAAGGGAACGCCCCGCCCCGTGCATTAGCATTTCATACGCACACAGAGGCATGAGCCCCATGCCACACATATGATTATAAGCCATGGAATTGCTTGTGAAGGACACCTACCACCATCATTAAATCAAAAACCAAACAACATATTATAGAACAAAACTGTAAAACGACCCAGCACACACACCCACGCATACCTTTGGAAAGAAACCCCTGACCAGAATAGACCAGACCCAGAGCCAGACCCAGACTCAACCACAGCATGAAGAAGGAGATGTTGCAACAACGCCCAAGTCATTAGAATTCCTTTTTTGGTGAGCAGAGTTTTATGCACAGAACTTGGCCAAAAAGGAGCAAAACCCAAAAGGAAAGCCCTCCGATAGAGAGGGAGGGAGAAACCTAGGGATTGAAACTGCAGAATGAGACCAAAAAGCAAAACGAATTTCATTAAATTAGACGTAACGGAAACAAAGTCGTTAAAACTTGGCAATCCCCAACCTCAGGTGCCCCCCACCCCCTCTAAGCCCCTTCCAGTGGTTTTTGCCCACTAACTGAAACTGAAATGCACTGCTAACGATCCACCAAAAATTGGGGTTGAGTAGGGGTCGTATGCGTAGAGCATTGTCCACTTGGGGAACAACCTCGTGCCTTGGCCACACAGACACAGACACAGGCAGAGGCGCAGGGACCGACCCGACCCATACAATGGCATTTTAATAAAACTCAGGCGAAAATCCCTTTACTGACGGCACACACACACACACACACACACTCGCAACAGGAACACACTTCAACAATTTTCGTGAGCGCATTTAAAACGATTGAGATTGAAATAAATGGTAAGGTATACGAATAGTTGATACCCAGAAGGCTGCGACTTAGATTTACATCAAGAGATAATTTTAGAAGAAGGGCCTTTGGTATCCTCTAATAGAGAAGCATAAAAACACCTAGATCCTTTTTAATTTCAGTTACCTTCTGTTTCTCAGGTATCCGTGCGACCGAAAATTGAACTGGAATTTGTTTCTGATGTTTCTTGGTTTCTTGGTAATTTTTTAATACCACCATGCTCCGAAGTTCGGAGCATTGGTTCGGAGTCCGAACCTAATCCCAGTCAAATTCAGAGCTATCCATAAACAAAATGGCGCCCCCATTCCAATTGGAATTTCATTCAAAGCTTCAATTAGTTTTACGTTTTGCGCTTAGAATTCCCAAGTGATTTTTCTTAGCACTCCAAAGTGTTTTCTGTTCATGGAGTTGCTGCCTTTCTTCTCTAAATCCCCAGACCAGCTGTAGATACCGATACCCAGCCGTTGATAACTGTTGCTACCCTGTAACTAATGCGTCTAACTACCTTTTCCATATGTATTAGGAGACAGAGACAGTTTTGTGTTGGCCCCCAGAACCCCTGCTACCCCCTGTCCATGCGTCTCTCTCTCTCTCTCTCAAGAGCATTGTCTGCTAATAGAGACTTGAGTGAAGTGTGTAGAAGAGGGGCTCGTACGACTGTGTGTCTGTGTCTGTGCCTGGAGTATCCACACCCACCTCCTAGTTGGCAGGCAGCTCGCTCTCTGCAGTCACTGACTGGGGGACTGGGACTGGGACTGGGGGACTGCTACGCTCATTTCATGCAATGGCAAATTGCCATTTTTAGTTGGCCATTCGATGTAACCGAAACTGGCGACCGTTTCGACCATTGCCATCCTACAAATTAGTATAATAAAACGTTTCATAAAGTGGAGACCAACCCCCCCTCCACCCAGCCAGCACCACATACACCAAAGGGGAACGAATGGAAGGATACAAATGGTGGATGGGCAGGGCAGGGCGGGAGGCAAAACCCCTCCTTTTGGCATCGGTTACAGTTTTAGGTTTTTCCTTATTCTCTTCTTTTTTTATGCTCGTTTAATAGTTTTGTTTGCATTTTTGTGTTCGTCTGCTTTACGGTCACTAAGTATCCATTACATAACAAGGACTGGTGGGGGGGAGGGGGAGTTCAAGAGGGCTGGCGACCCTTCTCGCTGGATATTTATTACAGCTCCACTCTGAAAATGTCATTCGAAATTGTATTATCCTCCGGAAGGCAGCGGCGAATGTCCGTCGCTAACTTCTTTGAAATTGTCGCCATATTTTGCAATTAGAATAGAAGAAGAATGCCAGAGTGCCGAGTGCCAGAGTAGGAGGCTGACAACGCCGACGGCATGACGGCATGACGGCATGACGGCAATGGCAATGTCTGACACATTCAAGAAATTACAACGCCAAAAGGCCCCAGGCCATAAGGACCGACGACTCACAAAAGGCGTCCAAAATGGATTTTATGGCCTGTTGAAATGTCTCCGCGCTTTGTCTCCGTTTCTCACAAGGAGACTGCCGCCAGCGCCTCCCGAAGCTATTTCGGCATGTGTCCAGGTTGTCATGTCTCCGCTGTCTAGGAGAATAAGCTCCTTAGGCCAGGACATCATTGGGTGTTGATTGAATAAAACACACACACACACAAAAGTTGTGTCATAAGCCTTTTGCCTTTATGTGAGTAAACAGAAAGTAATACAAATTGGAATATATATTTGATAGATTGATTATAGCTAAAAGGAAATTGTAGAAAAATTGTATTTGTATTTATTTTGATTTTTCCTAGTGCTACAAGTAAAACTTATTTTTAATGCACTAGTCACAGAAGATTTATCGTTACGATTACAATATTTAATCGTATTTCTAATAAATATTTTACATACATCAAGATTCATTTATTTTAATTGTCATTTATTTTAATGTACAATTTTATGATATTTAACAAGAGAGAAATAAGAAAAATGTCTAACAAAAGAAAACCAAAGCATTAAATAAAAATATTTTAGTTAGAAAATACTTAGAGCCATTTGGAGGCTATCAGAAATAGTACGTTTTATTCTTGATTTTAAATCAATTTGTTAGATTTTGTTACAGATATTTAGTTATTAATGTGTACTTGCTACGACAATTGTGCTTACATATCTGATAGCCCTCCAATATCAATAAGTGATACTTTGAACGGACTTTTATCAATAACTAAACTACCGTGAAGTGCATTCTCTTTTACTTTTAAATTAAATATGATACAAGGTCCCCTAGCAGCCACTCAAAACAAGTAACAGTAAAAGGTAACTCTACTCCGGCACTGACTTCAATTTGTACACCAGTCCAGTCCAGTCCAGTCCGTCCACCACACACCCCCCCGACTGTCACTTCTTGAGCTCATTTATTTTAATGCATTTTACTAATTACTCACCCAACAGAAGAAGATGTAACGAAAGAGGGTAAGAAGTGGAAGTGGAAGAGTGGAAGTAGCAAAAGTACAAGAAGCACTAGACAGCAGGGGAGGGCGGCTCACTGTGGCAAAATTAAACTTTTTGACTAACTCCTCGGACATGTAAGTTTAAGCCATTTAAAGTCGAGAAACCACGGCCAACATTTCATGTACTAGCCGTACTAGCCAAAAGTTTCCTTCTTTGGGGGGCATTTAATTAGTGTGTGCGCCGGACATTGGGCTACGGAGCTACGGAGTGTAATCAACCCTTGAGGAGTACGGTCCGGTCCGGTCCGGTCCTGGTTCCTTCGCCTGGCTGACCATTTTCAATTAAGTTCTGAATGCGTGCATACCAGAGGGGGAGAAAGAGTCAAAAAATCAAAAATAACATAATGGACAAATTAAAATGTTTGCTCTGCACAAATTCCCCACTAGATTCTCCATTTCCATTTTTTGTTTCCACCTCCCAATAACATTCTCTTCAACATTTTTTTTTCCAAACCCAAAATCATTCCCCCTTAAACGTTTTTTCTCCATGTCTGTTCTGTTTTACAGAGTTTTTGGTGCTTGTTGCTTTTGTTCATTGGTGGAGTTCTAAATGAAATTGGTTTTTCAATTTACAAGAGAATTTCTTTGAATGGGTCGGGACTGAAACAAAAGGAGGAACGTGGCAGAAACAATAGAAAAGGTCGCTTTATGCACGAAGAGTGGGGAAGAGGGAAAAATGCAAAAACGAAAGCAACGTCAACACTTTGAACATGTTCGGACTTGTCCATTTTGTGAGCTGAGCTTTGACGAAGAAGTTTCGAGCAGGTAGCAAGGGGAACCTAGAGTCTGGAGTGCAGGTAGAACAGCGAAGAACAGAAAAGAACGAAGGCTTACGATCCCGAAGAGTATGCAGAAATACGCACATGCATATGTACATACATACATACACAGAACGACCGAACGAAACCAACGAGTGAAAGAGATGGGAGAACGGTCACTTTGACATCAGCGGCACATAAAGAACAGCATAAATATATGACGGAGAGCAGAGAGGATGAATAGCGAGAGAGAGCGGATGAACAGCGAGAGAGAGCGGATGAACCCGAGAGAGAGAAACAAGACAGCGAATAAAACAACAAACAGTTTTAGATTGAGATAAATTAAATTTCAGTCCAAAAACTAAGAGCAATTAAAAGATTTTAGACATAAAAACACACAAGTTTTTCTAGAAAAAAGGTATGTACCATATATGAGATTAAACCCAAATCAAAATCAGATAAAAAAAAAAAATTAAACAACAAAACTGAAAAGAAACAGAACGTGTAATTTATTGCTGAAACGAGAGAGAACTTTATACATATTAAACATTTATGTTCTCTGGACTTTAGGAGTCCCAGAGACTACAAATAATCATGCTGTTAGTTGGTACTAAATATAATAATGCTACTACATAAACAAACATTGTGCTACTTAAAAATCTAAAAATCTACAACAACCACGCCCGAGGCAGGATTCGAACCTGCAACTGTTGGAAGGACGGCTGAGATGTGGAAACAATAGCTCAGCCCTCGACACCAAGTCAGTCGGCAATTGACAGATATCGGAACGGATATAAGAATATAGGGAATGCAATAGATATTATTCGTACTCGTTACGGTTTGGGTCTATGGTGCTTTCAGCGTCCTCGCTATGGTTTAATGCACTCGCTATGTCTTGGGTGAGTGGAGCGGAATGGAACGAATGGAATTTGTGTGCCTTAAAAAAAGCTATCCGTTTATATCTTTTACGAAGGAGATCGTTTTACTTAACCAACGACTAAATTTGTTCTCGTTACCATAAAATCAATTTAATTAAAGCTGGGAGCTATTTTTCTCTTCATCTTATCCTCAAACTTTCCCACTGATGAATTCTTTTCTGCACGGCACTTTATTCCTCCATGGCTATAGTCCAGAAAACAGGGAGTCAACCATGAAATAGTAACGATATTTCTATTCAGTTTCGCTGGCCACAAAATTTCTTTGGCTAATTTCATCAAATTACTTCTGCACAATTTTCTTATCAACAGGAATCGAGACTGGTCCCCAATTCCCTTGTTTTTCTGGCCATGCAACCATGGAAATGGAGAAGGATGCGACACATCCAAGGACATGGAACACTACTCCTCGATACATCCAAAAGACATGGCAGCGATAGATCCATGGACATGCAGCATTTTTATGGTCACTCAAATGCGCGTAAAACTTTGTCTCCGCCAAGTACTCGTCGCATGTCATGTGGATGTGCGTTCTTTTACGAGTTTTCTTTTTGTCTTGCGTTGCTGCCAAAAAGCTGCTGATTAAAGTTTATGGCAAATTTGCTGAATCAGTGCTTTGGGGGCCCCTTCTTCGGCACATCCAAGCGAGCGCTCCCCCATGAGACACACTCCACTGCCTAAATACAATCGAATCAAAAATTCCAGTCCTCACATCGCTGCTTCAATGTTTTTACGATGCACAAAATTTGCTGGAAACTAATTTCGGTGTAATATTACTAATACGTAAAGAGGATGTACCCAAAGAGTGTTGCAACTTTAATACAAAGACCAAATCGTTTACAAATATGAACGAAAATTAGACCAAATAAAACCAGGAGAACAGACTAAGAGGAGCATTTCTATGGGCTGACTTCGTGAATGTTTCCATAATATTTCTGAGTATGGAAATAGATACTGTGATTGAATTTATCCAAACATTTTCGGCGCATATTTACCAATTCTCATATCGCAAACAATCGGCTTAGCTTACAATCTCTCCACAAATTATGATACAGACTGTACACACACCTACATATGTATGCATGTTCGTACAATAACAAAATGCAATATAAAATTATTTACAGAATGCATTTAAATTTTATTTGTCACATGTGTTGCACGCACAAAACGAGACAACAGCACCCGCACCCGTGTGTGTGAGAGTGGAAACGAACATTTTGCATCGTTATCCTGGTAGCATTGTCCGGTTTCGGGTCCTTGTTCGGGGCAGCAGCTGGCCGAACAAATTGAGAATTGATTCTTTATAGACCATTAGTTTTGATTATACAATAGTTGTTGTTGGGGATACTGTAAGAGGGCGGGAGTGGGGGAATGAATGGGTGAGTGAATGGATGAGCGGGTGGGCGTCTAACGAAAGGTCTTATACAGAGGCTAGACGACCGACGACATTCAATTGAACGCTTCAACGCCTATCGTACAATTTTGTGCCAAAAATTATGAGGCAGCCATTGCTATTATAGTCCCCACGATATATGGGACAAGCAACCGCCCGCCCAGCCATCGTTCAATCCCCCCCAAATCCCGTATCGTCTGTGTGTGTGTGCGTGTGTGTGTTGGGCTCCAATGTTCATGATAAATTTGGGCTTATTTATCGGCCAGTGGCCAGTGGCAATTGGTAGTAGCAGCAGCAAACACGCACTGGGAGCAGCGGCGAGTGTTTCGGACACTAAGGCTATTTGTAGTTTAGGCTTGGGCGCCTCCTTTGTACCCAGCAGTGGCAGTGGCAGTCGCAATGGGGGAAGTGGAATCTATTGGGGGGTGTCGAAGCTAATGGTGTGGGGCCCAGCCCTGTTCACTGATACATTAGCCGTTCATTCGCTGCAGCTGGTGTTGGTCAAGCGGCAACAAAGCTTAAAGTTCAGTCAAGGATAATAAGCTGTTAGTGCAGTTAAAGCTTTACCTCCCTTTTTAAGCCAAATATCCAAGTAGGAAAATGTGCATAATCGGAGTACTAACTATGGAAATAAATACATTTTTGGCATTACTTTAAGAATATTTACTTCAGAGAAAACGAAGGAAAATGAGACAATTTGTTCAATAAAATATTATATCTATATTATTTATATATTTATATTATATTATATTTATATTACACACGAACTGGTGAATTTTTCATTCTTTATTAGTACACAATGATTGGAGTTATGTATATATTCTTAACCTATGTTTTCTCATCAACTACTTACCAGAGCTTACCAAACGGAATATCCGTCCATTGTCCCATTCATACCATAAAAACAACTATCCATTAAGCGTATTGGATATTTGGTTGCTTATTGGCATAAATCGTTAATGGCTTCCTTACTTTCAACTTTATTTAAAACGCATTCATTTAAACATAATTATTCCAAATATCTTTTGCAGCAATAACAAAAAATGTGTTCACGCTTCATTTGATTCAATTGATTTTCATTTAATTTTCCTGCTGTCCGAACGGCATCATTTTCCGAGAATGAAATTGAGAGAACACCGACAGACATCCATAAATTGTCCATAACAATTTGTGAAATTGTTTTACACCCAAAACAAAAAACTCAAAAAAGCAGCAAAAATAGTGAAAATAAATACAACAAAAAGTGATAGGAAATGGATTGAAAAAATCATTGTATTTATCATGAATTTTCAATTGCAAATGGGACCCCACATGGATACAGACAATATCTCATTTGGATTTCCCCCCGCAACATTAATGATTTTGTAGGACAAATTGGGTTTACGGTAGCGCAACAAAGTGCATAATTAATTAGCTGGTCAGCGTGTGGAAAATGCCAGAGCATGGGTTTTTCCGGGAATCAGTTGAAAGTTTTGTGGCCAGGCCGCAAAATAGCTGGGTTTACCTGATGCCCCTCCACCATCCTTTCATCCCTACACTGCTGCTGTCCGGTATTCAAATCACAAAATCCATGGAATTGTCGAGTACCATGTAGGCGGAACTATGCCGTCGCCAAATTGTGCTGGCTGCTGAAAATACAAACGGAAAATGTTTTGCGTCAAATTAGAGCCGGATTTATTCACAAATATGTGTCTCTTTTGCAGTGCAATTTATAACTACATACATATGTACATACATACTCGAATATGTACAAATTGGGCAAATTGTGCGTTTAAAATCTAAATAAAAATTGTCTGTGATTACTCGCGCGGCACCAGCAACACTTATGTAGGATGCTTTTATTTTGTATAGACGCTGATAGTGTGCCTGCTTGTCGCCTTCTAGTTCCTTCCTTCTGGCAGCGACACAGAATGTTCTCACAAGTCTATGCTGCCTAGCACTAAGCTGCGCTCTTTGCTTGCATTTCTCTGCTGGCAATGAAGAAGTAACAGTTAGTGGCAGTCGCTGCTTCTGTCTAGTGTTTTTGGTGCTTATCTGATTGAGACTGAGAGCGAGAGAGAGGTCGGATCATAGTACGCTCGGATACGAAGTGGACGACGAAGACTCAGACTCAGTCGATTTTGGGCCGCATTGATGTTGTTGTTGCTGAGAGAGAGCAAGCAATGTGGAATGAAGGAACTGCGAGAATGTGCATTGCTTGCGAGTAGTAACTGTTGGTTTTTTTTTGCTTACACGATCGGGGAGAGAGGATGAAACAACAACAATGCACTCCAAGCGAAATACAAACAAATACAACTAGCAGTCAGGCAGTCTATGTGTATCATACTTACTTACATATGAAGTTAGCCACTACAGTGCAGTTCATAGAAATAGGGATATTTTAAAGAGTGCTTTAAAAGCAGCAGAACTTACAGGGAGCACTATGGAGCTATATTTTGGGAAAATTAGAACAAGAAATTCATAAAAATAAAACACATAAACAGTGCGTTTCATAGCAATAATAGCATTCTCTCCTATGCAAACATTATGTAAATTATAAAGTTGAACTGCATATCGATCGGCCTTACGGTCATGAAACGCACTGTCTATGCTTTGGCCGCATTTCGCATCCATTTAGTTTAGTTATTTTTCTCTTTATTTTTATTTTTAGGCTTTTTCTCATTGCATAATTTATCAATTAATTGATTAGTTTTAATTTGAGTTTTTTTTTTTTTTCAGCGATATTTTTCAATATTTTTCGCTGCAATCCTCTTCTGGTTTTTCCCTTTTAGCTATTCGAACTAAATCTAGTTGTCAGTTAATTACACACATTTTAATGCTTTAATTACACGGTTTAAATGTGCGATTTATTCATTTATGATATTTTACATTTAACAGCCTTATTATTAGCATTTATTTAGCTTTTATTCTGCGTGTAGGTAGGTGTCCTCTGTAATCCTTACTC